TTTTCGTGGTTTAGAACCCCAGGCTACCAGACAGTTGCCTCATTCTCGGTAGGCCCTTCACCTTTACTAGGTCCCCCAGTATTGCCCTTTTACCCTTTTTCGGGGGAGGGTTCCCCTACTAAAATAGGCTGCAGACAAAATGTACCCTTATTCGAACCTCTCTACTCGAGGACCTAGTTTACAGAAAATTCACGGCCTCGCGCCTCGCCTCGCAGGAAGGGCTGCTGGAGCCGCCCCGAGTGGACGCCACCGGCGCGCGCTTCGACTCCACCTGTGACGACCCCGGCAGGCCGGCCCAAAAGGGACCCCACCCACTACAGGACTCGATTTTGAGAAGCAAAAAGCCCAGCCTGGTGAGCCTCGAAAAAGCGAAATGGTGAAACAAGAAGGGGAAAGGGTGGCACTGAACAATGGGTTGGGCTTCATTCTAGAACGAAGCGACAGGGAGTATCCCAGCAAGGACAGGACATGAGGGTGCTTGAGACATGCTTGAGACATGCTGACACATTCGGATGTCACCAGTTGCGAACACTTTGCGCGGGCAGGAGACTGAACCAATTCAATTTGCAATCTGCCACGAGTCAAGCTGGACACTAAACAACACCACGAGCTTTGCTGTTCGTCTTGACCCTTTTCCTCGTTGTACGTGTGTTCTTCACGTTTGGCCGCACAGTTCTGAAAACCTTTCTGTAATTCCAAAGTGATTGACATTCAAAGAGGACTCCCTTGGTAATTGTCATGCAAAGTGGTTGGGGCGGGAGAGGCCGCGGGTCTTCTGCGTGTTCAAGGACTTCCAAGCCTTGCCGCTGTACCTGGTGCAGGCGCCGACCAACTGGCCATGGGTCCAAATCCCCTACCCAAAGTAAACATCCCAATCCCCACTAAAATAAACAAAAATGGGTGGTGCACCTACCTCAAAATGGTACCATTGATTTGACCCACAGCCAACTGAGTTGACCACCTTTTCGACGGCTGAGTCATAGGTCAGTGCATGGGAGATCCGGAAGCGGCTAGTTCAAAATCCACCCGCAAGATCCTCTCTATGCCAAAGATGTTGGTGCCTTTCGTTGCGGTGGTGTTCCGCTAGGGTTTCCGACTCAGTTGGGATCGCATGTCGTTCAGCCATTCAACCGGCACGATCATGCAGCGTTCGATTTCAGTTGTAACTCACTTCCTAAGCTATTGGACTTTGCACTTTTTGAGCTGACTATTTTTAGTGGTAAACAATGACATGTTCAGCTTTTGTTGGCCGATCCGCTCAGGAAGTTAGGTAAATTGATGTTCCGCGCTTGAAGTTTGCTGGACATGCACCAGCAGAAGCAACAAGTTCCATCAGTCTTACCGCAGGGCATCGCCAATTGTGCCATCCTCTGTTTCGCCACATGCCGCAGGTGTCTGTACCTTGAGATCAAGCTGAGTGTGCCCCAGGCGGCGCCTTCGTGGAGAATCAGTGATTCAATCCTTTCAGATGCGAGAACCCGCGGTCATTAGGGCTCAGGGGTTCTCTTGCTTTGCCTTTAAGCCAACATGAAAACCCTGACAGTGAAACCATGCTCAGCCTCCCTCTCATTGGTGGTTTGGTGGTTTGGGATTCCTTGTTTCTTGTAGAAGATACATGGTAAACCCCTCCTTAACCACCAAACCACAATCCAAACCACCGTTTAGAGAAGCTGACATGCGTAACCTCAAACAAGAGATGCCCAACTGCTCTCAGCACAAAGTGCCGCTCCAACTGGTGTTGGACTGGAACTCGCGTCCGTGAGGCGCAAGGGTGGGGAACGTCCCAAGCAACAAACGGTCGGTGACCTCTTGGCGTCCCTTTTCCATGGATCAAGGAGAATTCTCACTCCAGCCAAGCGGATTGCGCAAACCAAATCCAGCAAAAGCGCCTCCTCCTACTGCTTTTTGGCCAGTGCTTGGGAATTTTGGACATGGAAAAGAAACGGATTGTTGCGCAACCTCCAACATGGGATTTTGGCTTGGTTGGATTGTTGGCAGGTGGTGCGCAAAAACCACCGCGGTTGGGTTGCGCTTGGAGCTGCCTGGTGTACGCAGGCCAGCGCTCACCCGAAGCGCGAGTTGCCTCGGCCTCAGGCACCTTGAAGTGAGCAACCAGCTGAGCCGCGCGGTTCGCGCGCGGCGACTGGGTGGGGGTCATAATGAATCCGCCTGCTCTTGGAATCCCATTCTTTTGGTGGTTTTACATTTTGGTTGCTTTTCTTCACAACATGGGGTTGTCTCTTTTTTGCGGGGTACTGTCCTTTGGTTGGTTGTGAAGCGAAGCCCAAAGGAAATTTAGCCATTTTGGGACTCACCCATGTCATCGCATATCCATTGACAGCACTCCGCCCCGTGAGGTGGCCTATGCACATCGATTTCTGGCGCTCTGACCCAGTTGAGTGAAGCCAAGAGGCGCACTCGTGACGCACCCCCCCCTTTTCACCAGCCCAAGGGAGATTTATCGAGATGCTCCGCTCTTGCCCAGAGTCAAGAACGAACATGCCTTTGTATGGTGGATGTCCAAATGTTGGCGCTTTCACTTGCAATGTCGCGATCATGAAGCAACAGCTATGATAGACTGCGCAAGGGAAAGCCTGAGACAATCCACTCCTCCCATGTTATGCGGCTTGCGGCTTCAATTGTCCATGAGTGATTCTGAGCAAGCGATGTGAGCGTTTCAAATTCAACGGTGTCTGCTCAAGCAGACATGGCAGCGTGAAATCCTTGGCGACTGGCTACGGACATGACCAAAACCGAGTTTCATGTTTCGGCTGTCTTTGACTAGGTCCCCCGGTAGTGCCCTTTTACGCATTTTCTAGGGGGGGAGGGTTCCCCTACTAAAATAGACAAAGAAAAAACTTGGTAGTCTTATTCTAACCTCTCTACTGGAGGACCTAGTTGATCATTCTTCTGGGTTTGTTCACCTTCGCCCTGACTTCGCCAACGTTTCCGCGCTTGGCCGTGCTGCCTTGACCAGTTGCACACACGCCGCCCCAGGCATCAGAGGCGTTGGCGGTCAAAGTGGTTTCATCGAAGGTGGCCTTCCCTTGGATGTCCAAATGGGGGTTGATCAAAAAGTCCTCTACATAGAATGACCATTGGGAGAACCACCAAAATGATGATACACCAATGATGAGATTTTCCATGAAATGGGAAAAGGTACCATGGTGATTTGGGGGCCAGGGATATTGATCAACCCCCAAATGTACCATGTGGTTTGCTATGGCTCGATACCAGTTTCCAAGCCTCTCTGCTTCATCCTGACCAGGAATTGATACTTTTTGAGATAGACAAACGTTCCGAACATGTTGGGCTCATCCACTCCAGAGTTGAGGATACGCGTTCTTTTTCCAACAGTTGGCGTGTCGCAGAAACAAGGTAGTGGTAATTTCCCCAGGGAAAACCGAAAGGGAATGCCCCTCCCCCGATGTGGCAACCGGTTCTCCCCGCCTGGCTCGTTATCTTTATTCGACTTCCTTACGCCCAGCTTGGCTGCGACCGCATGTGGAAGCGAGTGACACCTCGTGGCAGAGTTCATGATCTTGAAACGGCCAAGGCTCTCGTTTTGGCACAGGTTCGGTCAAAACATCCAATCGTTTGTGATGAATTTGGGGACGGACATGGGCGATAAACACTTCCCACAAGAAACAGGAGGGTGTCTTTGAATTCCCCAGGTTTGAAGGGGCAACAGGGACATTTTGACCGTGACCCACATGCACATGAATGAAGAAACGGACCTTTGCAGGCGTCTGCATCAAGCCGCCAAAAAGTGCGCACTGTCCACTTCCCGTCAGGTGCTCAACAGATGTGCAATGGTCCACACCTGTGCTTGGTAGATCAACCGGGAGTTTCAGACCAGGACCAGAGTTTGGGAGCTGTGACCAAAGCTGTCGGGATCTGAGTTCAGTCGATTCCCAGGATTCAGCTTTCGGCTGCCCAGGGTGCAGGGAGGGGCATCGACCAGATCATCTGATGACAAAATGTTTTACTTATTACGGTGTCGGTTTCCTTGTTTGCAAGAAGGCCTGTCTGCACAAGGCGGTCTCCAGCAGGAGCCCCTACGCAAAAAGTATGTATACAGAAATCTGTGTACATGCATGCAGGCAAGAAGTATCCATGGCAATGCCTCGCGAAAGTTACTCAGTTTTGCCCTATACCCAAAACGCAGGGAGAAATGTGGTCTTGGAGTCAAACCCATGTCTTGAACCGCTTTCAAGCGCTGGGCAGAGCCGAAGGCCATTGCTCAGGAGCCTTGCCCTAAAATTTTGGTGCTCAACCTCCATTTGCTTAATGTTTTTTTTTTGTTTTTGTTTTTTTTTTTTTTAAATATGTTTCCCCTTGTTGGTCTTAAAAGGAATTCAACGCTACTGAAAACGTGCTTTTTTCAATTTTTCCCGGGGCTTTGATGGAAGTAAAGATTTCCACGTCTATGTGTTCAACCTGATTGCCCCAGAGTCCCCATCCAAACCACTTGACCAATTTCCCAAGTCCCACTTCGCTGGGGCCCCCGTCCTTTCAACTCAAAGGGCGGTATGCTTCGCTTGCAGGATGGACATGCGCCCTCGTTTTTTAGGATTTTGTTGTGACCCCCAAGAGCATTGAGAGCGTTGCACGAACTCTGAATTTGTTTGCACTCATTGGAGCTCAATTTGGGATATGGCGAGCTCATGATTTCAGTTGACTGGATCCCTTGATTCAGGTCAGTGTTGTGCGTTGTGTATCTGTGTTGCATATCTGCCATGTGGGTCTGAGCCCATGATATCGAACATGCGTGCGCCGCCACGCCAGTCCAAACAGATGCTACAGAAATAGACAATATATGTGCAAAGATTGCAAAACGGCAAGAATGGCGAATGCATGCTTCAGGTACCCAACCATCCCCGGAAAGGGTTAGGGGTTATTACCCCAGTAACGGGAATAGGAGCAGTGGGGCAAATTCATAGCATCAGCTGAAGCATGTCGACTCCCGTCAGCACAGACCACTGACCCGCACTTGGTAATCAAGATATTGGACCCTGTCCTCCAAGCTTGCAGTATAAATCGCATACTGGTGGGGACAGCACTCGAGCTCCACATTGCCGCATTCGAGTTGTGGCGGCCGCTGTCAAATGCCTGAAAGAGCTGCTTGGCTGCAACGGGGGGCGAAGCAAAGACACGACCCCCTCGCTTCAAGAGAATTTACGACTTCCTAATCAGTTACCCGCTACCTTTCAGTTTATTGCGAGGTCTTTCACAAACGTCTCTGCAAAAAGGGGACCTGAAATTCCATGCTGGGCGCTGTCGATTTCGATCTTTATTGACGCTCAAAACTCCTTGTCCCCCAAACTGTTATGTGCGATGCAAGTCTTCACTTCGGTTGGCTCAGGTAACCTTAATTTGGGTTATTTGAACCCTTTCTCGCGAAGGCTAAATGGAAACCACCCCCGAACCTCCAAACCACCAGGAAGCAGGTCTTTCTTCCTTAGTTGGGAAAACGCAAAGAGGAAAGGTGACATGCAGGTTCGCCTCCATCTGACTTGCAACTTGGAGCTGCGTGCAAAAGGGCCGACCATGTGTCGTCTCGCTGAGAAGACCTGATCACCGACAAGACACTGCAGTTTTGCGCGATCTTGGCAGAGAGAGACTCTGGCGGGGCGCAGTTGGATCCCTTCGCTCTCGGCCTCCACGAAGCCTTGCATGTGGGAGCGGCTCGGTTTTGTTTCGCGGGAAAGAAACGCCTGGCAGGGTTCTTAAGAGAAGCCAAAGGGAAGCCAAAACCCATTTCGATGCCATAGCCCAGCCAAGCCTATTCCCCAACAGGACCAGAAAGAGAAGCATCAACGCGACCCAACCTCGGCGTATTTTCCATAGCAGACGATGCAGGACGGGTTTGCAACAGCCACAAAACAAAAGCACCACCAATTTGTGTGTGTTTTCCATTTCGACATGTAGTTACTCAAATGGGTGTTTTTTTTGGGGGTTACTGCAAAATGGTGGTGTTCCTTTCGGTTTCCCTTCCAAATTCCAACCAAAAAAGTCATGGGTGTGTTGACAACCCCCCCTTGAGGAATACGGGCTGACCGCCCACTGGGAAGTAAGGCCCCCCACACTTCATGGCCCCTCCTTCTAAAGGGGATTTTCCTTCCAAAAAGACGCGCCCGGCCCCAGGGCAAAAACGCCGAGGCCGTGCGCCCGGCCAGCCGCCAGGGCCCGCAGGCGGCCAACGCGGCGGCCCGGCGCGCGGCGCGGAAGGCCGGCCGAGCCCAGGCGGGCGGCTCGAACTCCGCGCTGATTTCGCTGGATCAAGTTGTTTTTTGTGTTTTTCTCGATACGATGTCCAGTTCATTGGGCTTGTTGGTCCCCAGTAGTCGACCCCGAGAGACGTCGTTGACATTGGATTTGAAATCCATCTCGCGCTCAGAAACACAACGGAAGGATTTCGACAAATGTAAATGGCAACAAACGTTATGGTCTCAACTTATGGTTTCATAGTGGTGCGGAATGGATTTCGAGGACCCGTCCACAGAGTGAACCAGCAGTGTTGGTTTCGAGGATCCTTAGATTCATTCCCAAAGCGCATGTTGATTCCTTGAGAAGGAAACCCCCCACTACTTTTTACATTTTTTACCCGTAATTTGAATCATCACTTGTTCGATCACCATGGGAGGGCTGCCGACCCCCCAACCCCCCCGCTACTTTTTAGATTTTTGCCGGCTTGGTATCCATATCGATGTATTTCTTGCTGAGTCGGGTTTTTGACCTGCTGCAAAGCTATGTATTGTTTCTTCTGTGATTTCACGAGAAGCAAGTTGGTGTGTTCCCACTTCAAGCAACAGCGGAGAACCGTCTCTACATGAAGAATGCGCCATCGGAAAGGCCAGCTTTCCAAAAGTAATTGGTGGTTTGGATGGGTGGCTTAAGTTGGACTCCCGGTTCCTCCTGAAGCCAAATAGAAAAATCACCTCTACGAATCGCAGCCTCCCATGAGGAAGATGAAACTAGCAGCAACCCGACAACGGTCGGGAAGAATGAAAGACACAGATACACACAAATGGCCCTCCCCCCCCCTCTCCTCCCTCCCCTTCGCACCGGTGCCTCCCCCCCCCCCCCCTCTCCGCCTGATTGAACCTGAAAAGTAGTATTGAAGGATTCCTGCGGGTCACGAGGGCACCCAAAAAAACATCACCGTGTTCGCGGGATGATTTTCTCGCATCCCAGTGCTGAGTAAGCTATGGATCCGTTGACTTCAACATCTTCAGAAGGGGTTCACCCACAGAGACGGTGAAAATTGGCAGTTTCCACAAAAGGACATGGGAAAACGTAGCGATTCGCCCAGTGTTGGTCGGAAGCTTAGAGCTGGTCACATGTCCCGAGCTATCATATCGAGAGGCCAAAAGTGGCGTTCACCACCAGTGCTCCCTTTCGACTCATTCAAGGGATGGAAACTTCCCTCAATGGCCATGCACTCATTCGGGATGACAATCGTGGATGCTACGTTGGTTGTTCACTCATACATGCGCA